GAAAGACAGTTTGCCTGGAGGTCCCTTTTTGATGAGCAGAGAACATGTGCCCTCCCCATCATCAGGACCTACGTATCTTAGAAGATCCCCACCTGTGCAGCTGCATGTGGTTGTACATGCCTGTTAATCTCAGCATTCTGGGAGGCTGAGGCAGGAAGATTGCATGTTTAGGACCAGCCTGGGCAATTTAGTAACTTATTGAGACTCTGTCTCAAAATAAAAACTGAAAAAGGCTAGGGTAGTAGCTCAGTGCAGAGGCCCCAGGTTCAATCTCCAGTGCCTAAATAAATAAACAAATAAAGCCAGTCTGACAGAATCTAGCATGTGGGAATGAGGCTGGAGAAGGAAGACAAAAATCAGATTTTCTATGCTGAAATAGCTGCTGAAGAAGATGAAAAACAACTAGGATGAAACATAGAACTCAAGATTTAAGTGAAAACAGATAAGGAAATTAAAATTAATATACTTTTCCAAAATTTCACTGAGGAACAGAATCATCACCAATCATTCTTAAACTGTAGATTAGAATTTTATGTAGAGGGCTAGGGATTTAGGTCAGTGGTGCCACCGCCTGCCTCACAAGTGCAAGGTCAATCCCCAGTGCCAAAATAAAAAGGAAAGAATTTTATGTAGATGAAATTTGTAAATCCATAGGGCCAAAAGACTAAGAGAGAAAAAATAGGAGGGAAAATAATACCTATGGGGGCACTGGGTCTAGAATATCTGAGTTGAATTATTGAGGATACAGAGAGAGAATCCAAAGCAGACAATTATTATATATTTTTAAATTAGGTAATTTTTCCAAGGTAAAGAAAAACTGGAATTGCAGATTGAAAGGACTAATGAGAAAAGACACATCTGGGAAAATTCTGATGAAATTCCTGAAATATGAAACCACAGGAAAAAAATCACCTTTCTCAGCAGAAATTTCTATAATCAAAACATAATGATTTGGGCATCAGAATCCAACATCTCATTTGTAGCAGTGGAATCGGAAATGGTGGAATAAAAATGTTACACTACTAAGATGAGTGAATGGGCTACAACTCAGACATCTAATCTATAATTTATCTAACAAGGTTAAAAGAACTATTTGAGGATAACAAAGAGGGATTGAGTTTAAACACTAACCATACATTCTATTCCAGAAAACAGTAGATTATTACATAAATCAAAAAATGAGGCAAAACCATGACCTCAAATTAGGAGAATATTAATGGGCCAGGAAACAGTGTAGGCACCAAAGCTTCCCATGTGAATTTACACCCAGTGTGCACACATAGCTGAATGAGCACTTCATACCCTCAAATCCACATACATATGTACAAATACTAAGTAGAAATTCCTGAAATAGTGGCAAGTACAGTTCAGACAATGTATCATCAGTGCTGCTTCAGCACTAGCGCTATCTGCAGAGGTGAAACTCAGTTATCTCTACAAGCTCAGAATTAGCCAAATGTCTGCCTTGGATGCTTTTCTTACCCTAGCCAGATAGTGTTCATATCAGGCTCTGACCAAGAAAGCAGCTGCGGGAAGTGTTCTTTTTGCTCAAAGCTAGGATTGTTAATTGACTGGTAATACGTTTTCCCCCCAGTAATTTAGCCTTAGAAAAGTCCCATGTTGCTGTTGTAGCATTTTCTCATTTTCTGTCTTCTTGGCATTCTTTCAAGCATATTAAGCAAGGATGAATTTCTTTAAAAATATACAGTATATTTTCAGGATGCAAAATAAAAGAGTGATCCTTAAAGAATCTTCTATATTTATAATTGAATTATCCCAAGCTCATTTTACATTAGTAAACTTGCAATCTACTAGGAATTAAGAAAAGACTGCTGAAATAATAAGGTAAAGGCTAATAGGAATAAAGATGAAGACCTGTAATTAGATTCAAGAAACTCATTCCCTGAGTAGAGGCTTCAGGGTATATTGGTTAACCTGTCAATCTAAAAAGCAAACAAGTACAAAACATTATCCAAAGAATAATGATGTCTATTTGGTCTTGGTAGAGCATGCCATAGTAATCAATGAGCCTACTCTGGGAGGTTTAAGACAAAAATGAGATTACATCAGATATTTAAAAACAATAGTCCTTGGCCACAGTAATTAAGTGATGCAAGAATAGCATCAGGCAAGGTAGGGCCAATACTGCTTGGTGGATGTCCTCGCAGAAGTCCTTTTTGTGTGAGATCATAGTGGCCACTGCTCTGTGCTCTGTGCTTGTGCTTTTGAGACTTTTGTTGTAGCTTTTAGTAGGCAGTCATGAACCAGACCCCTTTCTTAGTAACCTAAGAACCTCCTGGCTTTACTTACTTTATTTTTTCCCCTAGGGCTGAGCATTTTGATTCTGACCTTCACATTTCTGTCGTATTAGTGGTAATGAGGGCGATGTCTTTAGGTACCCTGACTTTAACACTCAGTAAAGCTCAGTGGTGTAAGGTAACAGTCAGCTCCAGAAGTGCATTTTTAGCTAAAGGCCATGCAAGTTACCTTTTACAGCAAGGTGGGCCCTCTGTTCTCATCAGACTGTGCTAGACAGTGCTACACATTAGAAACAGTTTCAACAGCCAAAATATCCACAGAAAGATGAGTTGTATGGTGTTGGGACTGTTTATTCTTTGATTGCAAAAACATATATTGCATAAATTTTATGTAACAGACACTAAGCTAAGGGCTAGAAGCCAAGACTAGCACACAGGCTGCTGAGCAGCAGCTTGCTACCTGTTATGTGAAAGCAGCATTTAATTCAAGGAGACTGACCTTCGGTTACAGTGGCATAGGCAGGTATAGTCTAGGTCTTGTGTATGACAAGCAACAAATTGCAAGCATACACCAGGCAGCTAGTCACAAGCAGGTATATTTATCGAAGATCACAGGAGACTGCTTAGGCCAAGTCTGTCCCAACAAAAGGTAAGGCACAGACAGAGAAGTGGTGCTGGCATGACAGAAAAGCAAACAGCATACAGAAGCATCGACAGTGCCCAGTGAATCAGGTTTTTGGAATTTAAAGGATATGCACTTCAGCCCAGGTGCCTCCCTGAATTTCTGAGCATGATTGACAGGAATGATTGACAGGGTGCTGTGCCATCTCAGGGGCTCTCAACATGCTCACTTGTCCTTGAAACTCTGATCTTAATTACATGCATGATGTGTGGTACATATCTGTGAACTTGCTATGAGGTTAGAGTAACGTGAAGGTCACTGAAGATCAGGCTAGAAGACAGTACACATGTGCTCTCACCTAGAGGATCAACGATGTCCTTGGTTTTTGTTATTTTGTTTTCTATTTCTCTTAAAACAGTGGAAGGAGGAATGGTCATAGAGTGCTGCTTAGGATTAAATTGACAGAAGGGGGTGGCTTCCTCAGCTCCATTGTTTGTACCTGGACCTACTTCTCTAACTGATGCTTGGAGTAAGGGCCCGGAGTGAGGGGTCAATCCCAGGGCCTCAGAGTTCAAGTGCCCTCGGACAGTGATAATAACAAGAGCCTGTTATTCTTCACAGTGTCTAGCACATAATACATATCTCATCAAATTATCTATTGCTGTGTATGGTATATTATCAGGAAAAAGAGACAAGAAAGTAGTGCCCCTCAAAAACTCAAATCCAAAAGAAATTAAAGGACTGTCTTCTGATAGTTTACAACATCAAGACAGAATGAGTCTCAGCTGAGATTGTCAATATGAACTTCAAGACTGGTTAGGGAGCCAATTGAAAGACACAGGTTATACACATATATGCTATGGAAAGGAACATGCATTCACTCAAGCAGAAAGAACAGTGTAATGATCCCTGTGTACCAGCCCTCAGTGGGAGCCATAGTGAACATATCCAGAAGATAGTAGCAGAACAAAACCAAGATTACCTTGCTGAGAAGGGGATGAACACGAGGCCTCTGCATTCAGGTTGCTCCATCTGAGCAATCTGAGTGTTCTACTTGTAATATTTTCTTGCTAACCTTAGGCCATTATAGGATAGGAATAGAGGCATTAGTGTATTATGCTGAGGATTAAAATTATAACCTGGGTCAATCAAAACACCATAAATTCTTGAGCACTATTGGTCATTAGAAAGAGTCAGCATGCCTTTTTCCCCATGAGTAGTGAAATAGTTAACTCCATACAAACAGCATAAACCTGAGTCCATTGTCTCATGAAGTTGAAGAATGAAACTGCAGACAAAAGGACATTAGGAGTTTATTGGAAATGAGAAAAACAGCTCCTGGTTTGGGAGGGGGTGTTTCCACCAGTGCTTTCTTTGTTTTGGTCTGTATAGATGAGCAGAGCATGGAAGGCTTTGTTATGTAGAGTTTGAAACAATCAGTTACTCTCTGGGAAACCAGTTACTCTGCATTTGTCAGTTCTTCCACGTCTAGCCTGGAGATAGGGAAGAGCTGTCAACTGACAGCATAGCTGCCTAACACAGTTCTTTCCCGGGAGGGAGGGTTTTTATCTGCCCACTCTTATACAACACTTTATACTTTCCCCTGTGTTTTCTTTTACATTTATAAGCTTGATCAGCTGCATGGCTTGAATTAGCGCTTAACTCCCAGTGTGTGCTATTTTCTTGTTATCTGTCTTGGGCCACCCCTCACTGGGTGCCGACTCAGTAAGTAAAATGTCTTTCGCAGCAGGAGCCTGGCACAGACCCCTGGCATACTGGGCATATCCACAAGTCTTCCTCTGCTGGGGAGAGGATGTTCTCTGCCTGACATTTAAACGTGTGAAGTTTACATCTAAGCCCTTGTTCAGATTTCATGCCTATTGATCTTGGAAAGGCAGACAGAATAGTCACTGGAATTAATAAATTGATATTCTGGCCTCCCCCGGCAGCGTCTGCTCTTAGCCTTGAATACTAGTGACCAGAATACTAGTGACTGACTGGCCTCGTTCGCAGCGAGGTGGGGTCCTGGGGGCAGGGCTCCAGGCCCTGGAGGGAGGCAAGGCCTGGCCCGGCCTGCAGCGGCCCTGCCCTAACCGTGTGTCCCCTTCTTCCGTCTGCAGGCCCTTCCCGCACCGACCCGGATACGCGGCGAGCGGCTGCGCGGGGCTTCACCGGCTGCCTGTCCGCCGTGCGCTTCGGCCAAGCCGCCCCCCTGAAGCTGGCGCGGGGCCCGGGCGCCGCCTCGCGGGTCACCATGCGTGCCCACGTGGTCTCCGGGGCGCACTGCACTGAGGGGGCGCGCAGACTGGGCCCCGGCCGGCGGGGGTCGCAGGTACGTGGCTCAAAGTGCCCCGCCCCGCCCCTGCCTTTCCCGTGGTCCTCGCAGTTCTGGCCACCGCCGGGTGTCTCCGGGTCAGTGACTCCTCCTGTCGCCCGTCTCACCCTTTGCTGCTGCAGGTCGCTCTGGACCAGGAGATGGGGGCGAGCCTTCAGGGAGGGCAGACGGAGGCTTCTCCGCGGCCGCGGCCGTCGGAGGTAACGGTGCTGACGGTGGCCGGCAGTGCAGCGGTGCGGGCCTTTGCTGCCGCCCAGCGTGGTCGGCCGGGGGCGCCTCGGGAGGCAGTGAAAGCATCGGGGTTCCTGGGAAGCACGCCCGGGAGGCGAGCACCGCCAGTCGTGAGTGGGGGACGGGCCCTGAATGCCGCCGCCGCCGCCGCCCGGCGGACGCGCTTCGCAACCTGCTGCAGGGCTCCTCGTGTAAACCGAGTCCGAGAGTAATCTCGCAGATCCCGGGCAGGATTAACGCCAGAGCATGGCTTTATATTTTTACGTGTTTTTTAAAAAATGCCATTTGGCATAGTTTAGATCCTTCCTTGTGGGTGTATTTCACTCTTAGTGTGGCTCTCAATGCTTTAGGGCTCAAGGACTGGGCGTTCCATGGCCTTTTCCGTCAGAGAAATAAAAGCAAAGGCGTTAAATACGTTCCTTACAGTAGTGCTGGAGATACTTTATGCAGATCTCATTAAAAAATAAAAAGTGCAAACAGTTCTCCCTGCTTGTCAAAGAATGTTTACATTCTTTTGATTCACGCATCAGTCAGTTGCAGACTCTGCTTGATAAGTAAGAAGTAAACCATGACTCAGTACATTGTCTCTCAGAAAAGGTGCGGGTTCTGAGAGCTGAGTGTTAGCCCTGGTGCCCGGTGCTCCTGCGAGCCGCACACAGGCTCACACCATTCATTCCGCCTGGCCATCCGGGCATCAGTTAGGCAAGGACTCCGGTATTTTGAAGCGCTGACCACATCTCTGTCAGGATCCTGTCTCAAGTCCTTGTATTTTTGTAATGCGTATGGTATAAAGAATATATTTGGTATCACCTCCATTTTATAATTCCAGGAACAAAAATCCCTTGAATGTTATTTATAATACAAATGTATAAGAAGTGCTTTTGTATTAAACTTTAGAAAGTAGTACTAAATAATTTCCTGATTTGTTTTTAACAAGAATAGTTTGATGCAATGCAAAGACAAATGTAAAATAAACTGTATTTCCAAAATTAGAATACAACTCAAAATATTTGCCAAATATCATAGTTGATGCCTTTATATTATAAAGAGGAAAGACAACAGTCAAACTGATGATAATACAAAAGATCTAGTCTTTGGATCTTTAATGTTCTTGCTAAGTATTATTGGTAAGATTTCAGAGTTAGTGAGTCCCAGTGCTGTTATTCCCCTGAGAAATCATCCCTGGCTCCTCCTAGCCAGGAGGCTGAAGGAGATGCAGAGGTTCTCAGGGCCTGGACTGGGTGGGTTACCGGGCTCTGAGATGAGCTTTTGTCTACCTTTGATCTGACCATGGCTAGATGCTGAGTGGTTGGCTAGGTAGCTGCTGAGTGTATGGACTTCTGGGCATGGCTCCATGTAGAATTCTCAGCGCCATGTGTAACGATCACAGAATACCTATGTATGAAACATTTTGTCCATGTGAGGCATGATCTCAGTGGATGGATTTCTCTGTTTCGCAGTTTTCATTATTATTTTCTCCTCTCACAAACAAGGGGAACAGTATAGGAAAGGAGACTTAACCTAAAACGTATTAAAAGCTGTTAGGCCAGAGATCACAGAAGACTTCTTACCGAAGGGCACTAATAGATAAAAGGACAGATGTATAGATAGACTGAAGGACAGGCAAACATGAGCACTTGTCAGAACACTTCCAGTGAGGCTGCAAAACCAGTGAGGAAGGCAAGCCAGAGTTAAAAAGCAATCAGTTGCTGATATAAATGCCAGGGTATACTGATGAGTTTCTGTAATGGTGACAGTAATTATAATAAAGTAGCCTGTTCATTGTTAGGAGATTTATCAGACATTATAGATGGATAAGGTATCCCTCTTTCAAGCAAAGTCCTATAATTAAACGTAAAACTAGATAAGGTGCCGGGGATTTAGCTCAGTGGTCTCACTGCCTGCTGTGCAAGTGCAAGGACCCAAGTTCAATCCGGGGTACCAAAAAAAAAAGGTGATATTATGGTTTCTTCCATAATGAGATGCAAGATAGAGAGAACTCAGTAGCTATTCTACTTGTGAATATTTATGAATGTCTATTAAACAGTGAATATGCTGCCCCCTGAGGCATGTGCTCAGGAATCCCATGACCAATTATATGCAACCAAGGTTTGAGTTTCTTGGGCTCCACTACAGTTGCTGATATCTTTCCCATAGTATGAAGAAGGACCCTCATTTTAAAATACAAATTTTTATTTATACAACTAGGCAGGCAGTAACATGTGTTAGCTAAAATTTGCTAATTGGAGATATCAGTATTATGCCAATCATCTTAACAGTATATTGCATAGTGAATGCATTTTACAGTTTCTTCCAGTGTAAGGTCAACATTCATTCTTCATTAGTAGGGTAACTTGAAAATTCCTGTGGCATAGCTTAGTGATTTTCAATCCTTACAGCAGCACAATGATGCCATCTGAGGGGTCCATTTATTTATTTAGATATTTTGAGACAGAGTCTCACTCTATGGTCTAGGCTGTCTCAAACTCATGATTCTATTGTCTCAGCTTCCCGAATGCTGGGATTACAAGGGTGTGCCACCATGCCCAGGTAGCTTTTTAAAAACCCTAATGTCCAGATCTCCCACCCAAAGATTCCTATTTGTGGTCTGTTGTGCAGCCAGGTTTACGAACCAGATTGGCATAACTAAAACTTTCAATATTGAAACATTTCTAACATTTACCAAATAATCAACTTGCCATAAAAGTAAATGTTAAGAATATTTCTACAGTTTTTAATGGTGTGGTATATTATTTATTGCTGCATGACAAATTGCCACACATTTAAGAGCTTAACCTTACCACAGTCATGACCTTGCAGTTTCTGTGGGTCAGTCAGGCATAGCCCGTGTACATCCTCTGCTTAGGGTCTCACAAGCTGCAATTGGTGTAAGCAGGGCTGGGTGTCATCTGTTGCTTCCACTGCAGAAGAATGTACTTTCCCGCTGTCAAAAGTGTGGACACCATTCAGGGTCTTGCGGTAGGACTTCCCTGAGCTCCTGTTGTTTTGCTGGCTGCTGTACAGAGGGATCCTTGCCTTTGCATGGGTGTTTGCATCCTCACAGGTAGAGGGAAACAGAACCTCTAGCAAGACAGTTTCTATAACCTCCCATAGCATAATCATATATGCCTGCATGTATCAGGTACAGCATGTCACCTTTGTCATATTGTCACAGTGCCTCCTACAGGCAAGGAGAATCACACAAGGGCATGAGCCCCAGGAGGCAGCTACCACTTAAGAGTCTGTGGGTTACATAGAGATGAATGATGTGCATTTCACAGGACGGCAATTCAACAGTATATCAACGTCAAAGTAAAAATTCTGTTAAAATATTTATACAATAGCATTTAATTACTCTATGATGAGTCCATGCACTCTGCTTTTAAAATAATTAAAATCTGCTGGCTTAGTCAGATTTTTTATTATGCTGTATGTAAATTGAGAGGTACTGTAAGTTTTATTCTGCATCATTAATGGTTCCTGCTTCTACTAAAAGGGTGTTTAGGGAGGGTATATGTTGGCCTTTTACTGATATAAAAGTTATTTCTATAAATTTATGTAACAGACATCCATTTAAATACCCAAAGCATTTCAAAGATACTTTGTTTTTGTCATCACATACCAAAGTAAATTGAGGCGGTCATAGAGAAGGATTTTTTAAACCAAAATTTTGTAACTTTTGTAACTTGGAAGTAAGTTAGCTTGAATAATAAAAATGTCTCTTTTTTTTTAAGAGTTAGGGTTTGGGTTAGTACTTTTTCTAAGTTCAACATATTGGTAGTTTGTCAGTTATTACTTTTTTGTGTAATAAATATTTTGTATTTGAAGCATGAAAAAAAATTTTAAAATATCTGCTGGCTTATTAACATGAAGTGGAAAATGGCCTAAGAGGTCCTGTGTTTCTTGCATTTAAATATAAAGACATTAACTGAAATCCAACCACAGTCTACCTTGACATCTGCCAACTGTAGGGATTTAGAAGTAAACTTAATAGAAGTAAACTCAATGTTATAATACCATTTGGCCTCAAAATTTCTGATAAGATAGATATGATAGATATATGATCTTAGGAGAAATTCTAGTTTGGCTGAAATTTATAATTTACCTTCTGACTTTATATTTTTCCTTTTTTCTCTCTCCTCAGGTGTCATGGCAGTTGTGATATTTATCTTGCTATGCATCACTGCCATAGCGATATGCATTCATCCACAGAGGTGGCTATACCAAAAGAATGATTCAGATGTCTCAAAACCTGGAGACCATGCTGAGACTGCTCTGAGAAGTGAGCTCAACTTGCAAAATGCAGTCAGTGAAAGTCAGAAGGAGTGTTTCTTCTGATCAGCAGCTGTGATTTCCTTTCTGCTATGACAGTGTAGCCTTCATGGTAAGCTGGGGGCTGTTAGTGGGTGGATACCTGGCCCTTGTCCTACAGGTCCACACAGTGAGTGTATGGCCCCTTCAGCTTGTCCACGTCCAGCCCTAGACATGGTGCCAGGAGGCTCTGCCAGGGCCCCTCATGATCTGTTTCTGTAGCAGCAATGTAAGTGGGGTTGATGAAATGAGTATTGGATGTCAGCTATGAGATTTTACTGTTGAATTCAATTATGGAAAAGAAAACTAAGAGATAGCAAAATACATAGAGGATTTCAGTATGCAGCAACTTTCTTAGTTTTGTTTGCAATTTGTAATTATAATGTTTATAGATTATAATGATTACCTAATGAGCTCATATTGTACTTTCTCTAACTAAACTTGTGCCCAGTTATAGACATCAAGTTAGTGCTGCAAGTATATCTTTCATCCACATCTGACTGAAACATAACCCTAAATTTATTCCCCTGAAATGTGAGGCAGTTACATCAATTTTTCACTATAGTCCTGTGATTCTCTTTTTATTAAGGATATCACATTTTTTATGTCATCTGACTTTCTTTTCATTTATTAGGGAAAAAGTTATATTTTGAACTGAGTTCCCCATGTGTCTGTTGACATTTTGAGCTGTCTTAGCAAAACTGTCCCTCCCTAAGTTTGGTTACTACATAGAATATTCCCAGAAAGATGCTTGATTATGCTAATGGCAGATGTAGGTTATATGATCTGAATTAAACTTGTTATTTGAGTCAAGATTCTAGGGTCTTGGGATCAGTTTCCAATGCAGCACCAAATTCAACCAGTTCATTTTATAATAGGCTATATCTGCATGCTAAGAATGCAAGGTGTTTATGTTAACTATGGTAATTGTCTTAGTAACTATTTTTGTAGCAGTTGTTCAGTAACCACATGGAGCCACCATTTATAATAAGGTGCTACATTCCCCAAATCCCATGTGTCCACCAGATGTTAATTAGATGACTTACATCATCCACAACAGGACAAATTTGAACTATATAAACTTAGCCTTGCTGTTACCTTTGAGTATATACCTAATTTATTGTGTTCTTTTTTAAAAATGCAGAAAGATATCCTCTATATTATCTTTTTCCAAAAAACTTTTTTCCTATGGTTTCTTACTAGCTTTCCATGAGTCACAACAACCATCAACTGTAATACAGCACATATTCTTTGTCTTGGTTTCTAAGATGTAGGAGCTAGGCATCGGTTCAACTGGGGCTTCAGCAAAGTTGTAACCAGCTGGGGCTTCATTCTCATCTGGATGCTCACTGGGGAGGATCTGCCTCACTGCCATGTTGTTGACACCATTCAGTTCCTCACTGGTACACAACACTAGCACCTCACTCCTTCAGTGCTAGCAAAGGAAGCAGGCAGTAAGGCAGGTCTGCTAGCAAGAAGGGAGGCTTAGGAAATGTCCTGTAATCATAAGGGTGACTTCTCATGACTTGTGCTGTAACCTGTTACTGAGAAGCAAGTCACAGATCCTCCCCACCACAAGGGGAGGAGGTTACATGTAGATTATGAACGGGGGCTGGGCAGAACTTGAAGTCTTTCTACTATGGAACAATATATTGGTCTTTCTTTAAATGATGACAATTTTTAATGATCTCAGTACAATTTTTTTCTTTCTGATGGTATGAAAGGAATAAACATTCAGTAGCAACTGTACTTTGAATTTTGATCTTTTCCTTGGCTAGCAGTATGATACTCTTTTAAGCCACCGCTCCAGCCAGCACATGATCACAGGGTGAACTCCTGACAACCTGCAGTTCTCTGCGTTGCTGAGCCAGGCTGTTCAGTAGAATAGATGTATTAAATGAATTTTCAATTTATAATGTTTTTAACTCACAATGAGCTTATTGGAACAGAATCTCATCTTAAGTTGAGGAGCATCTGCATTTAAGGACTTACCTTCTAGAATGAACTACATACTTTTTTCCCCACAAGCCCATACAGATAGGGGAAGGATTCAACACAAAAATGATAGGCTCAGTTTAATGCATAGCTGGGTGTAGACATTAAGCAATCATTGTAGCTTTAACAAGTGATCATCTTGTATACTAAAAGAATTTATTGCTTTAGTAGCTGGAGTTTACAGATTTATTGATGGTTAGCTACACTGCTCTCTGCTCTAGAGAGTAATAAGAGTTGCACCAAATAGAAGTGATGCATATCCACCTTGTCTTACTGATTTTTAAACTTTACCTACTTATTTGTTAATATTTTTAAATTAAATTAGGAAAATATTTTTTGAGAAGCTGAATAAAGTTGAAATTATGAAATTATACTGTTTTCCCATTAAATGTTAAAAATGTGCAGATGTATACATTGAATAGTGGTGTGTGTATTATTTATACTGCATATTTAGATAATATTGGGGTCTTTTTAATATTTTTGTGGTGGTACTTAAATGGTTAAAGACAAAGTAAAGAATAAAACTAGGCAGATACTTACCAATTATTACATGCTAAAATGTTTAGAATCAGAATAAAATGTTTAAAATCAGAGATTTATAATTATTGCACTTTCGGCAAAAAACAATTTAGCAATCAATAAATTATTTTTAAATGTTTTCCATAGCTTTAAAGTAATATTCCCTAAGGCTAGTTGTGTTAAAATATTCATGTATTTTATATATTTTAAATCTATGAATATAAAATATTCATGTATTTTTAATAAAAAGTTAAAAGCAACTCATATGCTGGGCTTATCACAGCATAGACCTATCAGAGGAGGCAGTATAAAACTCTTAGGATATGTGTAGATGTACAGTTCTGAAAGTATCTGACAAAGCACATAACTATCATAAAGATGCTCAATGAGTAAAGAAACAGGAAAAATCAGAAAAGTCATGCATGAACAAAATGAGATATCAACAAAGAGATAGAAATTATCTTTAAAGGAACCAAACAAATTTTAGAGTTGAAAAATAAAATAACTGAAATGAAAAATTCATTGTAATGTCTGGGAGACCACCCTGTTGATTATGCCCAAAGCAGGCTGTAAGCAGCACAGGTTGTAAAGAGTTAACCACACAATTGGCTTGTTTTAAAAAGTGAGTCTGACCAAAGCCTATGTGACTCATAAGGACATTGCAGTGATGCATGAATCAGAAATTATTTCCCCTGAAATGGCCATGGCAGAGGCCAGAGAAATGGTCCATGAAGCTGTGGGGCTCTGATATGGGATAACATGACACCTGAAGTCAGAGTGACTCATACCCAAACTCTGTTCCAAGAATTGAAACCTTCTTTAACTGAAAAGAAAGGTTAATAACTAACCTATATCTGGTCTGTTCTATTCCCAATGCCAAAATGCCTTGCTCATTCTTTTACAAGCCTTGCCTGAATCAACAACTTGTCCCTAGCAACCACACATAGTTCCCTCACCCTCATTTAGTGAATGATTGTGTAACAAATAAATATCAGCAGTTCTGGCTGTTCAGGGTCTTGCTGTTTATTCAGCTCTGATCTTCCTAGTTCCCCATTTCACTTTGATTCTGTCTCTGAGTCTTTCTTCTTGCCTGGTGTTGCAGCACTAAGCAGGAGATTGGGATCCTCTGCAGGGGTCCCTGGTAGTGTAGTTGGCAAAAGAATCAGCCAACTTAAAAGCAGATCATTTTAATTGGTCAAAACAGAGGAACAAAAAGAAAAAAGGTTTTAAAAAGTAAAAAGACCCTACTGGCTTTTGGGACATTCTCAAATAGACCAATATGTGCGTTATGGGAATATTGAAAAAGAAAACATTTAGAAAAAGGGCAGAAAGGTTATTTGAAGAAATAATGACTGGAAACATTCCAAATCTTCAGAGATGAGCATACAGATTCAAAAAGCCAAAAAACTACAAATAGGTAAACCCAAACAAAAGCATATTGGGAAACATTATAATCAGTGTCAAAAGTAAAAAACAGACTCTTGAAGGCATCATGAGAAAACCACTCATTACATACATGGATTAAATTATCATGGATTTCTAAGAAACCTTGCAGGCCAGAAGGGAGTAGGATCACATGTTCAAAGTACCGAAAGAACAAAAAAGGCCAGCCCAGAATACAGTATGCAGGATGTTTTAGTCAGAAAGATTCAGCAAAGGAATACATTAAATACAGGACACATAACTTATAGGGTTATTTTATGACAATTACCTGAAGAGTCACATGCAAAGGAGTGCAAGAAATTAACTAGGATTCAACTGAGGGTCTAGATCCCAGCAATTTCTCCAAATTTTTCACACTCCTCCCAAAAGCCAGTTCCAGAGGCTTCTTAACCACATGGTCATGTAGCATCACAGTAATGACTCCACTTCTTGTACCAAAATCTGGCTGTTACTTTCTCACTGCTGGAACCAAATACCTGACACAAGTTAAGGGAGGAGAGGTTTATTTTGGTTCACAGTTTGAAGAGATTTTGGTCATAGCTGGTTGCAAGGCAGGGTGCCATGGTAGATGAGAATGACAGAGGAGAAATAGTTCATGGCATGAGAAGCAGGAAGCAGAGAGGGATCAAAGGAATAGGAAGAATATATACTTCCAGGCCAAGCCCACCAGTTTTCGCCTCTCAACATCACACCCAGCTACAAATTCATCAGTGGATTAATACAGTATCACAACCATGATCTAATCACCTCCACAAAGCATCACCTATAGATACATAAGGCTTTGGAGGAACTTTTAGATATAAGCCATGTCAAGGAGTAAGAAAAAGAAGACAGAAAAAAAAGAAAAAGGACACATCTGTAGTCCCAGCACCCAGGAGGCTGAGGCAGGAGGATTGCTGTGAGTTTGAGGCCAGCCTGGGCTACACAGTTAGTTCAGGGCCAGCATGGATTACAAAGCAAGACCTTATCTCAAAAAAAAAAAAAAAGTCCCTGTACTTTTGAATGATCTGTTTCCTTCTAGAGTCCACAGTTCCAGAGCCCAGAATTTCATGGTTCCACTTAGCCTTATGGCCAGTGGATTTGTGATATCCAGTCCCTGTTCCAGAGGCCTCTCTTTTACCTCAGCCTGTGGCAATGTCCATGCCAAGACATATCTTTGCTCAGCTTGATGGACAGGGAAGGCAGTCAGACCCCAGATATGTGTTGGATGTAGGCAGCAGGGCAAGGGTTTAAGTACTTATTGCTGGCAAGTACTTTTAGACCCGTGTGTTTCTCAGCACAACTCAAGCCAAGCCTGGCTTCTCAGTGTAGGTTGTGGGGCCTGTTCCTTTCCTGGCTTGAGTTAAAATGTCTCAGGAGATTTCTTTCTAGCCTGCTTCCTGTCTTTAGCTGTCTCCTATGGTTGTCTCTTACCCAGTCATTCTGAGAAGGTGATGCTGTGAGACCTAGGTGATATCTAATTGCCCTGCCTGTATTCAGCAAGAATCTTGTTAGATTATTTTACCCAGGATCCTCCTTATGCCTGATGTTTTCCCTTCCTCATTTTCTTCCACTAACCCCTTACTCTTCTTCTGAGATTCCTATTTACCCATATTGTTTTGGATGTTGATCCCAATCTCTCCTTCATTGCAAAATCCCATTGCAGCATTACCTCTACATGTAAGGAGGATCCTATATAAAATCTTCCTTACTATGTTTTAAGAAGTGCCATTGAACAACTCTTTTTTAATTTAAAAAAGGGCCTGCTGTAAATAATGCATAGTTTTCCACTGCTGTACAAACTTTAACTATAGTGTGTACATCTGGCTGAAGGGACAGAAAATATAATTTTTGAGCTTGGGGAATTTGCTCTTCATTATAATCATATCTGATAGAGGCCAGATGGGAGTACTGCTACATTGACCAAAGCTCACCAGTCCTAGCGACCTAAGTCTCTGTTTCTTTAACCTTAAGTTTCCTGGGTGACATGGCCAGATTACCAAACAAGGCAACCAGAAATCCCCTGCTAAATCTCCTAGAAGTCTTCAGTCAGAAAACCACTCCCACCTCTTCTAAACCCTTAAAACCCCCTGAGTATATACGAAAGTACCTTCTCTCTTCTGCCTACCAGATCAGAGAGGTCCCACTCAGGTTTGGTAATAAACCTGCTTGGACTGTTGAGTTCACGTCCTGCTTCTCTCTGCTCTCATCTGGTCCTGAAACCTGGGAACAGGAGCCAAGGACAAAGTCTCCCTTGCAACCCAAGTAGCAGTGGGGAGTAGCAGCTCATCCTGCATTAACTCCTGGATCTTGAGAGTCCTCCAGCCTCTTTCCACATTTCCTCCCCTTCATCTTCCACCAGGCTAATGACTGGGGATTTGTGGCCTCCCCTTGTGGGACTTTGAGAGTCTGGATGAAGCTATTCTTCAGTGAACTCCCCAAACCTTTAGGAGTAACTTTCAAATTCTGACTGCCTGATTGGTCAATTTGCCTTTTTACCCCCCAACCCCCACCCCTGCATGAACTCCAGTCCAAGCACCTCTTTGCCAGACCTCACCTGGAGCATCAAACTCTGGCTTGATTCAACCACCATACCCTGGAAGGGGAAGACATGGCCTTTTTGGGCCTCCCTTGGTGCTCGGAGAGGTCCAAACCATCATTCCACTCTTCCACTCCCCCTTTCTCAACAGTTTTCCTCTGTCCAGAAAGGAGGAGACTTCTGACTGTCAACCAGGGGGAATGCCCTCTCTTGGTTGTCCTGCTCTGGGAGCTCATGGACTGGTCTCAAATTGCCCCCTGGAGAGACATCCTGGGAACTTGATTCATGACCCTGGCTGACTTTCTGGCCCTTCTGAGATGAAAATCACCCCTCAAAACCTTCAAGAGACACCCCCTGGGGTTGCCTCCTCTGCAATCTCTCCCAAATGGGCCTTAAGAGAGATATCCAAGCAAAAACTCTATTTTGGAAGATGCATTGCCATCTGGGGAAGCCAACCCTCCCCTGAGTTCTTCCACATCCTCCGAGCCCAAATCTACACCAAGGAAGGACTTGGCTGTGCTCTTAGCCCTTTCCTTCTCTAGCAACTGACAAGGCCTGGATCTGTCCATCCACTCTGCAGGACACCCAGTGGAGCCTTGGGTACATATGATGGCACAACACATCCTAGGATTCCTCAACCAGTTCACTGATGGAAGCCCACCCCCCATTAGGTTATGTCACCATCGAGGGGCACTCTGATGACAAATCATGCTTCCTTCCTAAAGAGGTCATTGCAGCGGCATCCCTTCTGCAGAGTACCACCTCACAACAAACTGAGCTTATAGCTCTTACCAGAGCACTCACACTGGCCAAGGACAAAACCATCAACATTTATAGACTCCAAATATGCATATAATATCCTACACTCCAAAGCTCAAATGTGGCACGAGAGGGGTTTCCTGACAAGAA